GTCACAATTGTGTTAGCCCTGCTGAGCCATGTCCCATGGCTCCTGCTGAGCTCGGACCCCATACTTACCCCTGCTGAGACTGCTTTCGGGCTGGCCTCCCAAGCCTCTGGGCACCTCACAGGTTTGACCTTTGCTGTGCTCATGAGAATGCATCCTGTCAGTTTGGTCACCCTTCCAGGCCATTTGAAGCATAGCTTGTCACCTAGCAGAGTGTCCTACTCTGCCAGGATTGAATGTCGTCAATCTGGGCTTGCCTGAATTGAGGGTCTTCAGTCAATAACTGGCGGAGACATGATCTAGCACACCTGCCCAGGGGTGATTCTCCTCCTCCCCCTTTCTTCTTCCCTTCAGCCCTCTTTGTGAACCGCAGCCCACAACATGGGGCAGCTGACCGAAGTGAGGTAGCTGTTACCAGACAACATCGCTCATCTCTACCCATGAACATTTCAGGGCAGCCGGCTTCAATTTTCTGACCCATTCATTTCAATGACTATATTGAAAGCTTCCTTACGCAATGTGCCAGCTGTCTGGTGAGAGTGAGATTCATTACAATTCAGTGTCCTTCATCTACAAACCTGGCTGACCCCATCACAAAGGTCCATGGTTTAGGGAGCTGCGCTGGCCCCTGGTGAGCCTCAGTCCCTTCCTGGGCCTCATCTTTCTAAGCAATCACAAACCATTTCAAATTCCATCATTTGTCAAGGTGCTTTATATTCCCACAGCAAGTTCTGGAGCTCATCATTTTTCCTTGTAAGAAATTTTAAATACACTTTATAGCCTGCAGCCCCTGAAGGATTCTTGAGTTCTCTGTATGGCTTGGTTGGTCCAGGCACATTGGCAAGTGCTTTCCTGGAGCCGGACTACAGTTGCATGTGCTGGAAGGTTTGGGTGCAACCTGGAGCTGAATGGCTTTGCTCTGTTACTTCTTCACTCAGTTAAGGAATTCTTGCTTGGGAGTTGTGGGGAGGGCAGGTCAAGGATGGAGGAAGGGTGACGAAAGCGTGGACCATGGGAGACACCAGATAGCATTAGGATACATTGCGTCACCTCCCTCTCAGAACACAACAGCCCTGACGGTCAGTCCCATTGAAGAGCTGGAGAAAGTGAGGCCGAAGAAGTTCAGAGAAGTTAGGCGAGATGCTCCAGGTCACACAGCTACACGGATCTGTGGCAGATGTGGAACTCTCATTCGTCTCTGTTAGCCTCCAAGGTTTCTTACCTTTCCATGGTACACACAGTGTAGAGCCTAACTTCAAGCAAGTGTTGGATGGCTACCCTGTCCACTTTTTAGATTAAGCTCATCATGGAGTTTCCTCTAGATGGGACTTTGTTTCCAAATAATAGCGTATTTGTTCTGGACACATCTGTTGTGTGTTCTCTGGGACACAGGGAGCTCAGACACTCATCCTGGGCTTTTAAGCTCAAGTGCTGGGAAGTCACTCTTCGATTCTAAGGGTTCTCCAGAAGTCACAGGGTCTGGGTGGGCCTGGGGTCAGAGAGGTCATCTGTGCAGCTGTTGGAAGCCGGGGAGGGCTGGCAGTTGGAAGCAGACGGGCTGAGTGTGCCAGAGTGGCAGTGGGGCCACCGCGGAAGGATGCACAGCTGAGGCAGGGAGATGAGGTGGTTGTTGGGGATTGTTACAGGAAGTGGAAGAAACCATAAAAGCCAGGGAAGATCTGGCCAGAAAGAGAGAAGGCAAGACAGCAAAACCAAAATGCTTAGGATCCAGGGTCCTGCATCCCAAGAGAGAGAACCGGAAGTTGGAGGGAAAGAAATTTGATTTGATGAGTCAAGGGTAATATACATGGGGACAGAGCAAAGTTTCTTACAGTCTGGAGGGGGTGACAGTTTGGGAATAGTGCTATAAGGGGAGTGTTTCTTGGAGGTGTCGATTTATATACCCTCCAAATCATCCCTGTCAACACAACTTCTATGCGGGACCATCTTTACACATACACACCCACCCACACACCACACACTTCCTTTTCCCATGTAACATTCCCCTCACACACATGTGGACGCTCTCAGAACGTATTTGTCTTTTATGCCCCTGCACTTACTCCCACACTCCATTGTATACATGCATCCCTAGCCCCACACGCTCTCAAAGTTTATACGCTCAGACACATACATGCCACATGCATGTATGCCTTCTCACTTGGCACATACTTCAGGTCCCAGTCCGCCCTTGTTCTGTACAGTCATGCGTTCTCAGCCTCCTCAGATAGTGGCCGTCACTGGGGACTGATGCCTAGAAGCTGCAGCCAAGTGGTCCGTAGCGGGGTGCACCAGCTCCCCACCGCTGGTGACCTTGTGGACGCCGGCTGGGGACAGGAGCCGCAATGGCACATCTGTGGTGCTTGAAGCCCTCTAGCCTACTAATTTTAGACCAGTGGTACCCACCAGGCCAGATGGCTTTGGAACATAATTAATCTCAACACTGTAAGAAGCTAAAGGGCTCTTCACTTGACTCTGTGTGCGTGTGAGGGGATCAAGGCTCAGGCAAGGCTTGCCAGACTGGGACAAGCTGGGGACTGAGGCCCCAGGTATGTATGTTTGAGGCAGAAGTTCTCGGAGCAACAGGCTGACGAGTTGTGGTTAGACGCATGCTCTAACATGCGTGAGAGGGTGAGGCACATGACACCCTGCCAGCATTCACCGGGTGCTGACCTGTGGTTCCGCCTGTGCTCCCCACATGCCCTGCAGAGAGCTGGCCCAGTGTTTGAGACAGGATGGCTGCGGGGAAGGTAGGTGTTGGGTAGCTCTGAGCTTTGGCTCCTTTCTTCTGGATTCCTTACCTGATGGGGACACACAAGGACGGACTAGCTCAACGGTTAACTGTCTTTCCTGACTCCACCTCGTCATGTGGCCAGAAAGTTAAATTTCTCTTTAAAAATGACTACAGAATTCTTACTTGAGAGTTACCTAAAACTTCTGTGCCCTTGACTTTGCCCCTACCTCTACATGGTGGGAAATGAGTTTTAAAAGTTGTATCTTACACAGAAAGCTGTTTGCCTTTCATTCAACGTGAATCGCCGTTCTTGAGACCTATCTGAAGTCCTGGGATTAGTACCACAGGATCACACCTGCCTTTTCTAGAACCACTTCAGTCCTTAACCCACAATGTGGGCAACCAGTTCTGGCCTAGCAGTTCCACTTCCAGCCTGCTGCCAGTCTTTCCGAGGTGCCCTGCCTTCTCCTTTTGGCAGCCCTTATCCCTCAAGCATGGCTGCTGATTTGTTCATGTGTTTTTTCCTCTCTGGGATACACTGCTCATTGTTGTTATTCTAGTTACGTGGCTCTAACTCTCCCCATTACAAAATCATGGATCAGGAAATGTGACAAATATCCTTTCTAATCCCATCACCCAGGGGGTCCACGTTAGCCTATCCATCTAGATTTTCTCCGCAGGCAGATGAGGGCTGTTTAGAGTGTTTTGTTTTGGTTGTTATTTTATGCTGGAGGCTAGTCCCCTCTAATGCCCAGGACATTTTCAGACCTGAGGCTCCAGCAGTGGCTTACATAGGAAGAAATGAGTCATAGCTGGATTTTTAAATTAAGAGCAAGGGAACACTTGCTGTGAGCTGGCATAGGGCTCTAAACCTTGAGGCATATCAAGTAACTCTTGCATAGAAGGAATTTGCAATCTACAAGATCCACTAATCTAAAAAGCCCAGGTATTACATCATCACCAATGTCACAAGGCCCCCTGAAGGCCTGCCTGATTTATTGAGAAACATGGCGTGGTCGGGGATGGGGACAGGCATAGCAGCGTCGGGCTGAGCTGCCGCGTCCATTTTGGAGGATGAGCAGGAAGTATCTGATTCTGCTCTAAGGGACAATGACTGCCACAAAGTAGGTGAGTGCATCTTTCCGGAAGCAGGCCCTGCCTGCCATCTCTTGTCCCCATAACCTTCTCTGAGCCAGAGCTGGCCTTGGACTACCCTGGCCTCCAACTGACCTGACAGGTATCAGGTGCCCATGTGTATGCTTAGCTTCATTAAGCTGGTGTGTGGTTATCTTTGGGGTGCCAAGTGGAGTTGTCAGTTGGCTGGGGTTGTCTCTTTCCATGGTCACTGCCAGACAGTCCTTCGTGGCGTTCACACCAAATTGCCGCACTACTGGCAAGCTAGGGTGTGGCTGATTTACTTCTAGGGTGAGAAGTAGGCATCCCAGCGATGTTCAAGTATATCTCTAGCCTCAGGTAGCATGGCCCTCGGGTCCTGCTGCTCTCCTGCACCTCAGGCCTCAACCCTTCCCTCTCTGTTCTCTAGCTACAGAGAGTGAGAGAGAACTGGAGGGAATAGAAGAGAGAGGGAGAGAGTTTTGTGTGCTCCAGTACAGAAGTGCTGGGACTGCCCCTGTATCCGGCTCCCATGCACACACATCTGCATGCCCAAGGCTGGGGTCACATGGCCCATGTAACGAGGTGAAGGTCAGAGTCCTACGTTCTAGCTCTGGGGAATTAGCCTGAGGGGCACCCTGGATTCTCTATGGCCTTCAGCAAGAGTATCACAACTAGCAAGTTTACACAAAGCCCCTGACACCTTGATGCTGATTTCAACCCCAGGAAGTTGCTGGTAGGCCCTAGTTCTTAGCCAAGTTCTGAAGCTATGCCTTAAAACACCAAAATCTCACACCAGCAAAGTCCCTGGAGTTAGATGATGGGGTGGGCAGGAGGTAACACAACAAAGAGTTGGAGGTTCATCCCAAGGGAGATGTAAACAGAAGCCTCAGCAGGACTGCGGCTTCTGTTGTCCTCGATGTGGTTGGTTCGTGGTAGGTTTGCTTATTACATTTCCTCAGTTGCCCCTGCTCGTGGGTGTGGCCAGCAGCTGATTCCTGCATCCTTTATATACACCTGTGCAACTCTGACGAGCCTTCTTTTACACGCCCACGTTGACTTATTACTTGACCATTTCCCAGGCCAGGCTTGCAGATAATTAAGGCCCCGTCTCCACCCTGGGGAGCCTTCTAAGACAAGGCTCCTTGTGATAAAGCACGTTGCGGACAGTGACAGGTGTCGTGCCAAGTCAAGGAAGCGCGCCCGCTGGACTCTGGCACCTGCTGCTGACCATTCTGAGCGTGCAATCCCTAAGCATCTGAAAACGGTACGAGTTGATGAAGGTAGCGAGCCAGAGCAGACAGGGGAAGCAAGCCCTTCTGGAGAGCTCTTCAGCTCTGAGGATTGCTGTTTACTTGGGGCCACTTACAAGTAGCTCTGGATTGGGTGGGCTTGTGAGAGAGAACCGCAGTTCTCTCTGCGGCTGTGCCGGAGAAAGGAAAGGCAGGTTTCCTAGAGGGGCTAAGGACCTGGCCTCTGCTGGTGACATGAGACCATATTGTCATCAGGACACATGCTTTTGAGTCAGCTTAGTTTTCACCCATGCAATAGAGAGGAGGGTCAGGCTACAATTTGGATTTCCTTGCCAAGTATTTTTCTAGTGATGGATTTATTTCAACACACCTGTGGCAAGCCACTGTCAGAAGCTAGCAGTGAGGCCAGTAGCTAAGCTAAGGTTCTGCCTCATGGAAGTGTTTCTCCATATGTCTGTTAGTGGTATGTGTGTGTCACAACCTATGATCAGGAACTCATCCAAATGAGGGGTGCTGGATCTTAGGGGCATACCTTGATAAACTTCATATTCTAGGGGCATGAGGCTCCCCAATAAAGTCTCAGCCAGGAACCTTCTGTTGGGGGAGGCTCACCTCATGCAAGCAAAAGAGGCAAGCAAAGCAGGTTCTGGTGTACAGACTACGGTGTGTGGCTGGGCTGTGTGCGCTGATGCTCTACCTCCTTAATCCCTCCATCCAGGGCCCTTGGAAGCTCAGCGGAACACTGGGCACCATGGAGCCTAGCACCCTGGAGTAGCATCCATGATCCAAGCTCTCCCGGGCTAAAAGCCTCTCCTCAGCAGGGTAATAGGACCTGACTTGCAGCAGGCAGGGAGCAGAGGTATTCAAGGCAGCCCGGGCTATTTTTAAACACCCTCTCTCCCCAAGAGCAGTGCTCAGCGGGAGAGAGCGGCTCATCCCTCAGCCTAGGGAACCAAAGCACAGCCCCCTCCCACTCCACAGCTCTTTCACCCCGCCCTTCAGTATCAGATCCCCAACTGGGGAGCCACTCAGGAACCCTGCTCGACTACAGGGGCTGGTTTGTGGAAGGGTGAACTCTGGAGGTCTTGGGGGTCGGTGCTTGTGGCACACTGTGTTGTGATCGCGTTGCCTGACTGACTGGAGGCAATCCACAGTTGACTGGCAGCCCAGAGGCTCACCCTGAAGCCTGTGAGCAGATGTGGCCCTGCCTGCCTCTTTGTCTACAACTCTCGGTGGCAGCTCACAGCTACCTGTCAGGCTCAGAAGTCAGAGGGAGCAGCCACCTTTCTGTGTGTCACTCCTGCTGGGAGCTAAGCTCTGACTTGCCTCTGCCCAGGGAGGGGGAGAGGACTTTGAGGGTCAGGGTGCTGTCTGGGGTGACAAGGCTGCAGGTGGCTGTCTTCTCACCTGTCCCTCCTTTCTCTCACCTCCACCTCAGGTGCAGCCTGTGAGATGTTCCCGGGGCCTGAGGGCAGAGACACAGGCCATTTCAGGTGGTTCTTACCATCTCACCTCTCACCGCTCTTAGATGCAGACATGTCACCTCAGAGGAAACCTTCACAGAAGTGGAGCCTGCTGCCCACGGCCGGCATCAAGTGACCACTTTTCATGCTCTAGATGGCACGCTCAAGGCCATATGATACCACATTCTGTCACCGCATGTCAAAGAGGCCCAAAGGGGAACCTTTGGCCAAACTCACTGCCACATCCTCTCTCTCCCTGATCAGAACTCCTCCCTCTCCCTGAAGACCTACCAAAATTTATGAGACCTTTGGATGCAAAGAATGATTCCAAATCCACAGCCCAACTCTGAGAACTTGCAGGTGCCCAGGATTCTTCTTGTTAGACAGTGCTTCTCAGCCTCCCCAGTGCTGCGATCTTTTAATACAGTTCCTCGTGTTGGGGTGGCCCCAACCAAAAAAAATATTTTTGTTGCTACTTCTTAACTGTAATTTTGCTAGTGTTATAATAGTAATATAAATATCTGATATGCAGGAGATCTGACATGTGACTCCAAGGGGTCGAGACCCACAGGTTGAAAGTCATGTTGTTAGGGAACCCCGACTCACCTTAAGTTTGTCACTTTGACAGATCTTAAGCCTGACTTGCAGAATCCTTTGGTTAGGGCTTTGCAGGAAAGGGGCTGCAGATAGCTCAAGACACTGAATCCCAGCTTTCTAGCTGGTGCCGTGGCAGCCCGACCAGTCAGGGTGTAGGCCCTGTGATTGGATGCTACACATAGATGTCTGAGCTCACACTCCCATGGGGTGGCCCTTCTTTAGCTTTCCTGCCAGCTCCGAAAGGGGTGGGATGCTCCTAGTCTTTGGCATCCTCAAGTCCCTGAATCCCTCACCAACCCAGCACTGTGCTCTGGGATGTCACAGCATTTGCTTTCTTTGAACTTCAGTACATTTTCTTTTTTTTTTTTTAAGTTATGTGTGTGCGCGCGTGTGCACATGTGCGCGTGTGTGTGTGTGTGTGCGCGCGCGCGTGTGCACGTGTGCGCACTCAAGCCATACGTACATAGGTAGAAGTCAGGGGACAGTTAGTAGGTGTTGACCCTCACCTTACATCATGTGGTTCCCAGGGACCAAATTCAGGTCCTCAGGCCCAGCAGTCTCTCTAGTTGGTTAATCTCTATTGGGGGCAGGGAGGGCTGCAGCCTGGTTACATCATGTGGATCCCAGAGACCAAATTCAGGGTTGCAGTCTGGGAGGAGAAGGGGTCTACTGTGGGAGCCCTAGGCACCTGGGGCTGGGAGGTGGGGACAAGAAAGGGCAGGTAAGCACAGCCTTTTCCATTTCTCTTGCCTCACGTTTTTATTGCTTTGAAGAACCACTCGAGGTATTTAAAAACCCACATCACATATGCACACAGTACAGAGGCTGTAGTAGAAAAGGGCATGAGTGCCCAGAGACACCCACATTCCCTTCTCCCACCAGCCACAACCTCATGGAAACCGCTGTGCTCAGAGCTCATGGGCCTGTCTCATGTATTTACTGCACGGCATACATGCTTTAGTCAGAATCACACAACTTCATCCAACGCCCACTGCATTCTTGGGTTGTGAGTGTTCATGCATCTGTAACGTCAGGCCCCATTTGTGTAAGTCACTTCACAGAAGCCATCTCCTGCAGCATGCCTCTTTTGACTCCTGATGGCCCTAGAATAGAGATGACAGTGTATCATAGGTCAGGAAGCTGAGGTTCAGCCAGGCTAAGGTATCTGCTAAAATCACACAGCAAGTAAGGCTGGACTTGTGCGCAGCTTCCCAGGCAGATGCAGCCTGATGTGTCCTCAAGAAAGCCTCTCTGTCGTGCTGGCATAGAACAGTTGCTTAATTAAAAAAAGTCACTGGAGCCAGGTAGAGTGGCAGAGCCTGTATCCTGAGGACTCAGGAGGCTGAGGCAAGACTGCATTCCAGACCTGTGTGGGCTACATAATGAGACCCCATCTAAAAACTCAAAAGTACTTGGCCTCGGCACTGTAGGCTCTGCTACTAGGCAGGGTGACTATCCCATGGGGAGGGTGGATGCTCAGGCCACCCACTTTCTGGTTATGTACACACTCCTGTACACACCACATACACTTTCAGCTCTCTCTCTCTCTCTCTCTCTCTCTCTCTCTCTCACACACACACACACACACACACACACACATACACACACACACACACACACACTTTAGAAGGTCATATACCACTTGTGAAATCAGGATCCTCAGGATTTCTCTTGCCTCAGCAGAAGGGTGGAAAGGGGGTTGTAAGAAAGGTTACACTGGATTTGCTTAGGATCCGTTTTATGCTGTGACAGTGTTGTGATTGGGAAGCCAGGACCGACACCCAGGGCTACAGGAGAATGCTAGTGATCAGGGCCTCACTTCCTGCTGGACCTTTATTCTAGGCTCAGGAACGTCCCACGACTTCAGGTCATATCTGGAACCTGTCTGGAGGATGGGGCGGGGTGGGGGGGCAGAAGCCAGATCACCCCACTGTGCTGGAGCAGTCTGGGGAGAGACCTCCATGGTCGCCAAGTGACCGGCTCCGAGAGCTCCTCAGCAGCCTACCTTTTACACAGAACACGGTTTGACAATGCTGACAGGGAATGAAAGACAGGCTTAGAATCAGGACCACAGGCTTCAAATACCTGACCCAGGCTTCATATCTCTGACCCCATGAGCCCATATCTTGCCCTTGAAGTAGTGGTGAGCTGGGAAAACTTCCTAAGATGTCAAGTGATCCAGTGCCAATCTGAGGCTCCCACAGAGGGACAGCGGGAGAGTTTACAGGGAAGCTGGAGCACCAGGGTGGGAGGACTGCTGAGCATGGAGGCAGGAGGCAGTGCGGAGCAGAGAAACCAGAGTGAAGGGAGAGCTAGGGAGCACAGTGCTGGCTGGCTGGGCAGCATGAGGGTTTGTCCTCAGCCTTCTTGACTTTGCTGCTGGCATTTTTGCTGCTAATTAACATGGCATGGGGGTGGAGAGGGAGAAAAATTCAAAACAATTGATTTGTCTGTTTGCTAGCACGTCTGGGAGAGGCTGGGTGTGGGATGTCAAAGCAAGCTAAGAGTCAGTACTTCGTGTTCTAAAGAAAACATGGGGATCGGCAGGTTTCACATTTTGTTGCTAGCTCATGGGTTCTGTCCTAAAAGTTCTAGGAAATCAAAGGCTCTTTGCAAATTCAATAGAGCAGTGGGCAGGGAGGGAGACAAGATGTGCTCTTCTGACTTTGTCAGGAGAAGGGTGATAGGACCCTAGCTTGTGATCAGAGATCCAACTGATGAACCATTCACCATCCATCCTTCCTGTTATCTATTTTCCCACCTGTCCTCCATCCATCCGCTCATCCATTCATCAACTCACCCACTATCCCTCCATTCATCTGTCCAACTCATCTGCCATACACCCATCATCCATCCATCAATCCATCAATCTATCCATCCGTCTGTCCGTCCGTCCGTCCATCCACCCACCCACCCATCCACCCACCCGTCCGTCCATCCACCCACCCATCCACCACCCACCCATCTATT